ACAAAGTTCGGAACACCGAATGCAAACGAATGACATGGAGAGCAGTGACGCATTCAGACGCATCAGCAGCGATGGGTCGCTTGTAAGGAATTGTGGCGCCAAGCCGGGTGAGAAGAACAACAAACAAGCGGCTCGGATGTTCCGGGAGTGGAAGTTACATTCACAGTAAAGGCGATGAGAAGCAGAAGGCCATGAAGATGTATGGAACTGCCGTTTCGAATAACTTTTCTGAAGTAAAGCAGGAAGAGAAGCGTGCACGTACACAACACATTATGAAACCCGTTTAGCAGAGTATTCACGTGGCCACTCAGGAAGTTAGGCCACGAACACCTGGTCACAATCGGTAAAAACGGAAAGCGATAGAAGCTGAAAGCAACTCACAGCGTGTTCTATGCTATGCTGCGATGATGTGTTTGTATCGCCTGCGGAGAAGTGCCTAAACGTCGGGGCAGCATGCCAGAAGCGACTGCTTGATAGAAACCGAACGGAATTGTTCAGAACAATAATAGATTCATGGGAACTTAGTGCGCTCTTGCTTTTTGAGAGCACAAATAGAGATCTGAGAAGAACCCAGACCTGTGCCAGTTAGGAAAATCAGCGCAGGCGCCAAGCCCATAGGATCAGTCGCTGGATTAGTTCCGAGTGCAGATGGTGAGCGGACTTTGGAATCCGACTAACGATAGATGGGTCATTATTGACTTGATTGCTCGCGCAATGCTAGAAGTGCAATCTAGACATCAAAAAAGCGAAGGAGAGGGATGCGGAAGAAGCTATGGCGAAAAGAGAGTAAAAACCGTGTGGCTTCCCAAACTAGCGGTGATTGGATAATCCTGACTAGAATCAAAGTCAGGTGATCGATTTCCTACAAGCGGATGAAGCGGAACACTACTCAGGCTCAACTGCATATTTAAATGCAACCGAATGTAGATGAACTATGTTCCGGTCAGCAGTGACACTAACTCAATCCAGTCGATGGTGTAAATTTTGATTTTGGTTTGTAACATATCTCGAACCTTTGTCTTTCCTAGCTAAACGATTACCCTGATTGGTAGGTCATTTTGAAGTATTCGTTGTGGGAACGGGGATTAGGACACGCAATACGGGAGCCTACGGCAGCTACCATCCAGCGCCTCGCCATGAAGTCCGTGATCATCGGGAACCAAGTCCTCTTGGAGCAAAATGGTGCAAAGGTGGCATGAAACAACACTACTATAATCCGTGGATGGATACTTGCATCGTGGGGTATGTACGACGTTAGCGACTTACAAATGGATAAGAAACCCTGAGTGAATTTGCCTTAGACTTCGCATCAGAGAAAGCAAATTTCGAGCAGGTGTGTGCTGTCGACAAAATCCTGACGTTCCAGTGGACAACCACTCTTGAACTAAACCGATCCTCACTGCATGCGGGCAGAAAGAAACATTTTCACACGCTCTGCAGTCTTTTGCAGTAACCAACGACGCCAACTGCAAGAGACACAACGATATCGTCGCCAAGTGATCCAAATCATCCCGGGGTCTCACGTCCCAGCGGCACAGTCAAGCCGGATTTAATCGACATCAAGAACCGCATAACACACAGTATGGACGTGGCAATACGCGACGCTTGCAAAATGACCCGTAGCTACCAACTAAAGATCGACAAATACGGTGTAGATGCTCATACGAAAGCCATAGCCCGCTTTGTGCACTCGGAACTCCCTAGAGTACTAAAAATCATGTATCATCCAATAGTCGTCAACAACCGGGGTCATATATTCTCAGCTTCCACCAAACACATTACGGCACTGGGGCTCACCATACCTGACATATACGGCTTGTGTGTGAGGATACCTTAAACTGTACGAAACATTTACATGCGGGGTGTCATCTCACAAAATATCTCACACTAACAACGTTCACACACATTCGCGATCGGTTCCGACCAATTTACTTGCATTTAACATGACTGTTGCTTCGATATTGTGCCAAAGCATTGGTCCAGTATCGGCGAATTTATCTAATGCCTAGGCCTTGGGCCATTGCACGAAGTTAAAGTGGACCCTGGCTAATACGATCACTGGAACTATAATACAGAAGCAGATAGACGTAGGGTGTTGCGCATCTAAAAACATTGCACTGCACAACCAATTTCGAACTTAAGTGATATCACCAGGCAGAGATAACAGGCCTCGAACCCGGAGCCGTTGGGATGTTAGTTGATACCTCTACCCCTACTTGATGAGAGCAGATAAGTTCGAAACCTGTCATGTGGAGCAGTGTTTTCGGGGCGGGGTGGTAAAACTATTACCCTGTTTGAGTGAATATACAAACGAATATGCAGACACGGACAACAACTGCCCTACTCGGGTGACCAGAGGGGGTGGGCACGCAGCCAAGCATGATTCGAGCAAGTGATTAGAGGGCTGCGAGCGCAGAACACTGTGGGACAGCCGATACGTATGCGTTAATGATATTAAGAAATAAAGCGTTCCTAATCAGAAGTGCTTGCAGAATACTGCTCACATCTGATGGGAACACTGAGTGAGCAATGCTGAGGGGTCCACCAGTTGTTCGGGAAGAAACCATCGGGTACGTCACTAGAGTATAAACTAGGCCAGAACAATTCACGATGGCTAGGTCATTTCTTCCGTGTGCCCGTAGATCACGTTCATCGGTCAGCAGTGTTTGCTGTTGCTGCACCTAGTTAGAACAAGCTGCGAGGATGGGGGCTCCGGGATAATGTACATCCCAGAAGTAACAGGGAATAGAGGCTTCAGAATCGAGCAAAACTGTACACAGTAATCGGGTTTAAAGAGCTCTGGAAACTTCGCCACAACTAAACTCAATGATACAGCGATTACCGTTCGGAAGAGCGCCTGACAAGCAGTCCGTTCCATCGGGACTCCTCACCAGCGATCACTTCACTCTTATCCTCGGGGATCAGAACCTATGGCCACACATAGAGCTTACAGTCAGCTCCTCATGTCATTGGACCAGGATTGATGGCAGCGGTATAGGTGACGATTACTTCACTGAGATATAGCGCATCCCCTCGCCTACTACTGTGCATACTGGTACAATGCAGAAGATACAGCTAGTCGTCAGAAGCACGATTTCTCTCGATAGACTGCCAACTATCATACGATATTGCAAACTACTCGGGCAATAGCAAGTAGGTACAAAGGTGTATTTGAGGAGTTTGAAATACTAAAGCACGCCGATGCTCAGTAACACATGCGCCAATGTACAGAAAAGCACAGTAAAACCGTTTTGTTCCACCTGGTAACATTAACAACGCTAATTCCAGATTTCTGGATTAGAACCCATGGCTGTTCAGTTTTCAGCAACTGGCTTACACCAACATAGAAAGACCTAATTTGGAGAGAGCTGAGCATGAATCCAAAATTCTCCCCTCACCGAAAGAACTTACTGTAAATTTATTGTGCTTAAGCAGTGGAGCAAATCGGCAACAAGCATGCTATGTTGCTCTGGATTGTTGCTGCTTTCCCGGTTCGCATTGAAAGCAAACAACAGCAGTGGAAGAGGAAGGCCTTCGTGAAGACAGTAACGAGTCCAATTGGTGGAGGTAGAGAGAAATTGTGGCCCGGCGTTGGTGGATTGATTCACTGCCCGAAACAAGTCAACGACCATCCTGAAGCGTTCATTTGGGTGGATTGAGCTTGGTGCTATATATGTATATATATGTATATATATATATATATATATATATATATATATATATATATATATATATATATATATTATAAAAACGCTTCATCGAGTGGATCAGACATTTGATCCTATCACTGTGTGGTTGCACATCAGTTGTCTGTGTACTATGCATGTGTTCAATCAAAGCCAGTTACCTCAGTTCCCCTCGTTGATCTCCCTCACTGTATGTGTCACGCACCAGCCCTAGTAATCCTTTCTCTGATTCATGCTCTGCGCTCCCGATCGCTTCATTGTTTTTGTTCCCTCCCACACACTATCCCGGCTAATGTTCTATTCCCATAACGATCTTCGATCCACTTACTCCCTGACTGGTGACTCACCTACCATTTAACTGCCCTGTTTACCACATACTTCCTCATGCTTCGCTTCCCCTCGCATCCTTTGTCGTTGAGGTCAGGACAGTTTGTGGGGTGTAAACTCCACCCATCCAGCCTGCATTAACCTGATGTGATTGGACTAACATATGTTTCTCTCCTGATTGACGCCTTTGTACACGCGTAGTCCAAACACGCGACAAAGGTAGCTGATTGCTGAAGGGAACACGACAGATTGATGCCCTGTTGTTGTAACGGCTGAGTCTATCCGTCTTTTGTTTATGGACATTGTTGAAGTATTTCCTTATTATGCTGTTCTATGGTTTGTATAATAGCACCGTAGTTCAGCATCGACTGTGGCTTTTGTATTTACCGGTGGGGCGTCCAACTTCCGATTTTTGTCGATTATTGAAGCTGTCGAAGGCCGCAGCTCGGTACCCTACGAGTTGTGCAACGGTCTTAAACGCTTTTGACGTCTAAAGTCTGTACCTGCGGTCAAGTGTTTTGCGTGATCGCGTTTTCTCTTAAATGTATCGTAGGAGAGCTTTTTAGCAAATGCGTTACAGGTGGCCCGTCCGGTGCAGTCGCACTTTAAACCATCAGATCACTCGTCATTTTAGACCACTTCACGATGGCCACTTTAAGCATTCGGTGTGTAGATTATTTCAGGTCTCGAATATCTTACATATGTCACGTTTATTCATTTGAGTTTTCACTTTCGAGGTTTATGACTCGCGCACACCTGTTTGATGACCGGACGACTAGGGTGCATAATTCAGGATGCTTACCAAGAGAAGTTCGTTGCATAGATTATCACGTCACTCAACGACGGACACCGACTCATGCACTTACTCTAATCGCCCATATTCTTCTTTAATGCTCGAATGACATTTGCTATGGAGTTTTTGAGACAAATTGGTATGAGTTGTTGCCTTTAATATACTACCACGGACCGATATCCTTTTTGCTCCAGGTGATGCTACAATCGCTGCACATTCGGCCCAAAGTTGGGTTGCTCCGGGGCGCAATGCAGTGGTATCAAATGCTTCCACGCAAACCGTTGGCTTATTTTATCCAAGCGCTGCTGATTTGCGTCGCAAAGAGTCTTGCCTTCGCTCAAACCCGTTCACCGATGCGCAACTACACCATCGGACTCCCCTGTTGACCGCCGTCAGTCCTGGTCGAGGTACTTCCTTCAGTAGTAGTTTCTGAAATAGTGCATTCTTGCTCGGATCGTATGGTGTCTGTAGTTGTTCCATGCTAATGCAGTCGCGTATGGCTGTATGTGTTGATATTCCTTAGTTCATTTCAGATGATCAACTAAGATCCGAGCACCGAAGTGCGGTGGATCCAGTTGCCACGACTCACATCGCACGAATAACAATAAATAACACCGGTGGGATAATGGGGTTGGATGCAACTAGAATGTAAAGAACATAGAACCAAGTAGGAAATGCGTTAAATAAATCCGTATAGAGCGAAAATTAACGGCCACATGCGAGAAACCGAATGCGGGAACGCCAATGACTGCGTGACTGCACCCTGTCTTATACATTCTCCGGCCATTGTTGAGGACCATCTCGAGACCCCCATCCACGAAGATGGCGCTCACCAGTCAGATCAAGCAGTCAAATTCTTCATGCCTTAATGCCACGTCATGGACCGGTCACCTCGCGATTTGGCCCAAATTGGTGCAGCCACGGCATATGACAGTGTGATTGCAGAAACTCTCTGGGCTTCGTTTGAGACCTGTCACACCCAACCTTTGAGGATTTAGAACAATGTACGTGTGTTTTGCGACCGTAGCTTGTTGCACACCTGCGACTACGGCAGGTGGTAGTTGTCGGGTTTGCACCAGTTTGACCAGTGGCTGCCTGACTTTAGGCGGGCAGTAACAACCAGTTGAGAACCGGACGGTGCCCTCCATCCGTCAGACTCGATGAGTGACACTCGTACGTCAATCGAGCGGTAAGCTTATAACCCGTAGACCTGTTGTCTTCCATTCCCCAAGTTTTAAAGTAAAACTACCATTGACCTCCTCCTAACATCCGAAGTGGATTGGATTGTGAGACTATGTTAGTCTGACCCCTAACCATTGACCCGTCTGGTATGAGTGGCTATGAAGGCGGTTGGGCAGTGGCACCCAGGGTCACAGAGGTACGCAAGCCATCGCATCACGTGACGGTCCAGTCTCGCTGCGATGGATTGACATTCTTAGTAATGTATTGAATGTCCAATTAGATATAATCGTATGCAACTTCAACAGTGAACAAAATTATGCTTCCAGCGTGAGAATCTAATGCTTTCCTCCTACATCGTCTCATAAAGCTTTCGTGGCCTCACCAGTGATTTGCTTTTGCACGACTGCTACTAAGATAACAAAATTATACCTGTCCGCATTACTGACTCCTGCTGCAGGTCACATCTCTTGGTTTATTCAGTTGGTCCTGTCTTGGGCTATTGAATGCTGTCTCCAAAAACCGGACAGAAATTCTTTTTTCACTTTCTAGAACTTGCTTCATCAGTCATACCCACCGCACCCAATACGCACAGTCTGCGTGCGATTAAAAGGCCGGCTCCTGTACCAACGTGGACAAAGGTGATTAAATGGGGTCATTCAATTAGCTCACTCTCCGTATTTAATCACGCGCTATCCTGTTTAACCATCACATACAGGTCAGTCTGCGACAACTGTGCTAATTGATGGTGGCAGGCTTTGCATAATTGCACATCGTTTTACCTTTATCTTGACCCCTATATGGAAGATATATTTTCTGTCTAATCGACATGGTCTCACGATGTCTTGGTAAACTCATGCCACCAGGATTGACATGTTCCTGTATGTTCTCGCCATTGCTGGTGACGTTCTGGAATACGTTCCCTGCTTCACTTATCTATGGAATTGCATCACGACTGCCGGCAGTGTTAGAGATGATGTCTCACAACAGATCGCAAAGATCCACCGTGTATTCCTCAGATTGAGACGCTTATGGCGTTCTCGCAATGTCAGTCTCAAGCTGAAGGCAGGATGTACATCGGTTCTCTCCGTGCGTTCGTCCTGTTTGGCTGAGACCTGACCTATACACTGGGACGACACAAAACGGTTGTCAGTTTTTGAAATTGTTTACAAACATTGCCAACGTATATATATATCTATGGTTGGCGGCATCCGGTTTCGGATTTGCCTGTCACTGTGGCAAGCCACAGGACGCCTGCGCCTACAGAGAGACCATGGGTGGCTTGCGCTGCACCACCCACAGCTTCAACCACACACCCCCATATCCAGTGTAAACCCGAAGGAATAAGACCGGGAGGCATGCGGATGGGAACCACGTTTCATCAACGGAGCCGGCCCACACTCCTTCACAGGCAAACACAAGCACACTGTATTTGGGAATCAAGCGCACACAAGGCGGTGGCTGGACCGTAGTCCGCTCCACACTGACTGCATGGAACCACTCTTCGAGCCTAGCACGGCCACAAGGACCGTGCACCCCGTCCCCTCTAGCAACGACCAACTGTCTCCTGGAGCCAGTATGAACGATGTAGTGGGTAATAGACAGGTAGGCACCTTGTCAACATGCACATCAAGCGCAGCCACACCGGGATATCAAGCAACAGCCAATCACTTGAGAGAGAGAGAGAAGGAAAAAGAGAAAAACTCGATTAATGCATAAGGAGACGGTGACATAAACCTTAATTAAATAGCATACGTAATAAGTTGTTTACAAACAAATCCTAGCTAAGTGCACGAGGTCAGGAAGTATAGTTCACGGTATGCCACGAACACAAAAATATTATGGAAATTTAATACTGTAGGACTAGTTAATACTAGTCCGAAACGATGCGCGGAATTAAGCGCGGATATCAGAAGGCAATTGGAATCGGACACAGCGGACTGTATTCGATGGGCTACAACAAGTAGCGGACGGATGAAGCGAGGCAAGAGCGTACACGTGAGCGCGGGGACTTACAAGGCAGTTGTGTGTCGAGCCGGTTGTAAGATTAAAACAAGAAGGAGTAATGTACAATCGGTCAACAAGTAAATTGTACACGAAAGATAAGAGTTATCTTTTTGGGCGCTACAGAGCTCCCCCCTTAGAAGGCTGAACATAGAAAGCCTTCGAAATCGAAAAGGAATGTTGAAACGTGGTTCGTAAGGCGAAGTCGTACCGAGTAATATATATATATATATATATATATATATATATATATATAATTGTTGGCGGCATCCAGTTTCGGAATTGCCTGTCATTGTGGCCTCCACAGGACGCCTGCGCCTACAGAGCGATCATAGGTGGCTTGCGCTGCACCACCCACAGCTCCATCCACACACCCCATATCCAGTGTAAACCTGAAGGAATAAGACCAGGAGGTATGTGGATGGGAGCCACGTTTCACCAACGGAGCCGGCCAACACTCCTTCACAGACAAACACAAGCACGCTGTATTTGGGGAATCAAGCGCACACAAGGCGGTGGCTGGACCGTAGTCCGCTCCACACACAAACCATGTACATAGAACCACTCTTCGAGCCTAACACGGCCACCAGCACCGTGCACTCCGTCCCCCTTCAGCAACGACCAACTGTCTCCTGGAGCCAGTATAGACGAGCTAATGGGTAATAGGCAGGTAGGCACCTTGTCAACATGCACATCAAGCGCAGCCACACCGGGATATCAAGCAACAGCCAATCACTTGAAACGACAATATAAACTAAAATGAATCGAATAATGCATTCGGATTTGCTGACGTTTGTTCATTAGTATGGAATGAAAAGAGCTTTAGGACAACATAGCAAACCAACCACTTGAAAAAGAGGCTCAGCATGCAAGTACTATCACTAAATCAAATGCAACGTACCTACCAACGCCCCGCCGGTTCTGCCTACTTTCTCAACAGGACTCGTCGTCGTTTCAATGCTTGACCCGATTGGCCCCGCTCGTGGCTCACTAAGCATGCCTGACTCAGGCATTCGCGACCGCACATTCTACAGCACCATGCGCTCGGAGTCGATGGAGTACAACTCATCGGTGCCTGTCGTTTCGGCACGTGCCGCTTCTCTGTATGCTCGAGGGCTTCCTCTTTCACCTCGGCAACTGCCTTCGTGATTAGATCGCGCCATGCACACCGATCAACTGCTCTCGATTTCCATGATCTGCAATGAACATTCAAATGTGATAGGCTCCAGTTGAACATGTCCTGCTAACGTAACTTCTGTTTTCCTACGTGCCGTTTCCCTGCACTCAGTTGGCCATAAAGCAGCTGTTTCGGTACCCGGGTCGAATCCATACGACGAATATGCCCGACCCACCTCAGGTACCTCAGCAGAATTATGCAGTCTACTGCATACATGCCGCTGTGTCGGCGCACCTCCGTGTCTGCAACTCGATCACTCCAGCCGATGCGCACAATAGGGCGCACATTGCTGATGGAAGCGCTCCAGATATCGGACATGCTTCCAATAAAATCTCCATGTTTCACTGCCGTATAGAACGGACAGCACCATAGACTTATCTACCGGATGTTTCATCCCAACAGTGAGTTGGTGCTTGTTCCACACACAGCATTCAAGCCTGCCAAATGCAACAGCCGTCTGTGATACGCGGCTGCGCAGCTCGCATGTCATCTGCTGGTCGGTTGTTAGTACATTACCAAGGCAGCAAAATCTCGAACTGGTTTCCATCACTTCATCGGCAATATGGATTTGGGGCAGACCCACGGACTCCATTACGGATGAAGCCCTGAAAAGACAAGCAGTCTTACTTGCGTTGATGGTGAGCCCGAATTTGGCCGCTATCGAAGCCAGAGCACTAGTCATGTGCTGCAACACATCCGCGTTGTGTGCAAACAACGCACAGTCGTCAGCAAACAGCAACATACGGATAGTTGTCTCACAGACTAGAGTTCTCGCACCGAAACGACGGATGTTCAGCAACCCACCATCAATACGGTGCTCCACACGAACACCGTAAGCACAAGCGGCATAAATAGCACAAGACAACATTGCATGAAGATATATATTTAACAGGTCAGGAGCTAACACACAGTCTTGCTTCACACCAGAGACAACTGCAAAGTCATCCGAGGTCTCTCCACTCAGCTGCACTCTCGCCCGCATACCACTGTGCAGGCAACCTAACTTATCCAACACCAGCCACAATGCCTCGCGGTTCACCGTATCAAATGTTTTGATGAAATCAACAAAAAGCGAGTACAATGGCTGGTGTCGTTCTCTACACTTCTCTT